TTGCTGTACCAGTCTCATTGTCATTGGGTTGTTCAGTATTTTTGTCTTCCTGAGTTAGCTTTGGTAATTTGTATGAATCTAAAAATCTATCCATTTTAAATTTTTTTTCCAATTTGTTGGAAGACAGTTTTCATAGTAATTATTATCTTCTGGATTTTGCCTGAGCCTGTGGTGATTTTGCCTTTCTTTTTTGTTGTTGTTGTTGTTGTTGCTGCTGTTGTTGCTGTTGTTGTTTTGAGACAGGGTCTCACTATGTAGTTGAGACTGACCTGAAACTCACTATGTAGCCCAAGCTGGTCTTGAACTCAGAGCGATCCTCCTGCCTCAGCCTCCCGAGTGCTGGGATTACAGGCATGCACCACCATGTCTGGCTGCCTTTTTCATTTCTAATTGCCTTGATGTTATTTTAGAATAAATTAGTTAGTTAGATATCTTGTAAGCAATTAGACAGGGCCAGCCCCTCAAGTAGCCAACATGGAAGATGGGACACATTCACTGAAGGCCAGCATTATAAAAGACAAGCTACAACACCCACAGTGACTGGTATCCTAAATAGGTGTCAGTCACCTGAGTGGGGGGACCAAGATCTTCCAAGGAAGATCCCTAACCCACCACTAAAAATCCTTGCTCATTCTTTGTACACTTGCTATGTGACTTGCTTCCCCATTAGATCACCATTTAATCAATATTACCTAAGCAACTATACTTGTAATCTTATTGATCATAATTTTGTCCACCTTGTGATTTCTCATTGGATCAGTATTATGTAAGTGACTGTACTTGTAACCTTACCAGTTGACTATAGTTTTGTCCCACCTTGAACTTGTCTCACCTTGTGGCTTTGTCCCATTAAAAAACAAAAAACAAAAAACAAAAACTTTGAGAAGCAGGGTCAGTGGGTGACCCACTTTCTGGTCCCCCTTCTGTCTCTCTTAGACATAAGGGATCATTCCATAATTTTTTCCTTTTCTTAACCTCCACTGTTCCTAGAATTCGTTCTTCAATTTTAGACAACACAAACTTGTACTTTGGATATTTAGCAGGTTTGGGAGTTACATCTATTCCTCGTATATCAGTGTGAGTCTTTTCTCTTTCTTTTGGTACATTTGGCTAAGGGTCAGTTTCATTTATTCTTTCAAAGAACCAGCTCTTCAATTCACTGATTTTTATATTGCCATTTCAGTCCTGATTTCATTGACTTTCATTCTGACCTTTAGGATTTCCTGCCTTAGTTTTGATATGGGCCTGGATTGTTGTTGCTTCCTATATATCTTGAGGATCCTTGTAAGGTTTTTATTTGAGCTTGCTCTGCTTCCCTAATGTGAACATTGATTGCAATGAACTTCCCTTTTTGGACTGCTTTCGTAGTGTGCCAGAGGTTCCAGTGAGTTTAATTAACTTCCAGAATTTTAAAATTTATTCTTTGATTTCTTCTGTAACTCACTGGGTGTTCAGAAGCATATTATTAGTTTTCCAGGTGCATCTACATTTTCCATGACATCATCTGTTGGTGATTTTTATTTTCTTTGTACAGTGGTCTGATAATACACATGGGTGATTTTGATTCTTCTACATTTACTTAAGCAGGCTAATATGTGATCCATTCTGAAGTATTGTGTGCTGCAGAAAAGAATGTATACTCTGATGTAGTGGGGTGGAATACTCTGTAGATATCTATTAAGTTCATATGTTCAAGAGTATAGATCTGCTCTGATACAGTATTTTCTTATTATCTTTTTTAGTTCATCTCTTCGAGAAAGCAAGGTAAGATTCCTCCACTGATTGTTAGTATTTATTTCATCTTTTCTGTTCCACAGCATTTATTTTATGAAAATAGGTGCTTCAGTATTCCATACATAAATATTTATAAGCATTATCTCTTCTTATTCCCTTAGTTAGTATGTAGTGACCTTGTCTCCTCTGATCAGTTTTATCTGGAAGTTTACTGTGTCTGAGATTAAAACTGCTACCCTTGCTTGTTTTCAGGGTCCTGGTGCTTGAAATATTGTTTTCCATCTTTTGATTTTTGTCTATGAATATCTCTTTGGATTAGATGAGTTTATTCAATGCATCAGATTATTGGATTCTGGTTTTGTTTTGTTTTGTTTTGTTTTGTTTTGCTGGTTGTTTTTTAACTTATCCATTCTAACAATCTGTGTCTTTTAATTGAAGAGTTGTGACCTCGCTTAATGTTATCTTTTCATCTGGGCTTTTAGCTTTATTTGTTTCATTACTTCTGTCTAGGATATTTCTGAGTGTTTTCTGGATTGCTGGTCTTTTCATATTCATATGTGTCTCGAGCTGGTTTTTTTCATGAAATGTCCTTAAATTTTCATCAATTTTATTGATGTACTTTGGAGGGGTACCAGGGATCAAACTGAGGACATTGCACTTGCAAGGCAGGCAGTGGCACCACTGAGCTAAATCCCCGGCTCTCTTCATCTATTTTATTTTTTTTTCAGCTTTAATTGAGTTTATTGGTATATTTTAGGGATACAGTACAGTTACATTCATTGTTGGGATCTTGTACCTCTACATGACAAGTCTTGATTCTCATTTTTTTCCCCTTACCTCTGCCCTCCCTTCACCCCCTCCTCCCCTCCCCATCTACATCTTCATCTATTTTAAAGGAAAGCTTTGTTGGGTATGTTAATCTGTGTTGGAAGTTGTTTGCTTTTAGAGCTTGAAATACTTCACTCCAAGTTCTTCTGGCCTTTAAGATTTGTGTCATGAAGTCTGTTGAAATTCTAATGGGTTGACCTATATCTGATTATTTTTTCTTGTTCTTCACTGACCACTTTTAAAATTTTAGATTTTTGTTAGATATCTGGAATAAGGATATGCCTTTATTCATCACATTTGTTTGGTGCTCTGGAAGCCCGGCTTATTTCTACATTTAATTCTTCTCTCCTACTTGGGAAATTTTATATGACTTCTCTAAACATATTAGTAATTCAGTGTGTTGTCTTCTAGCTTTTCTCTAATTCAGATTCACCTTAAATTGGTCTTAGTGTCATCTAGTAGCTGCTGAATGGTCTTTCCTTATGCTCTAATTTTTTTATTTTTATGGCTTCGGTACTTCAAATTCTACTTTTGTCCTTAATTCAGACACTGCCTGCAAAATGATCATTTCTGAAATTTATGGATTCTCTGAAGGGTTTTGTTATTTCTTAAATCTTTTTTAAAATTCTATATCTTTTGTGAATTTGTCATTCATGTTTTAAATTGTTTTCATCACCTCTTACAATTTTTTCCACATTTCCCCCCAGTCTACATTGGATATTTGAGTGGTAATTCTATGAACTTTTGGTTAATTTTCTCTTTGAACTCACCTAGTTTATGTCTTATTTTCTTCATAGAGTTCCACTGCCCAGTATTTGCATTTCTCTCCATCTGTGCCCCCCGATCTGCCTTAGGAGAGATGGGAGACATCCAGGATCTTCTGTTGCTTTCCCATGATTCTAGTCTCTGTGGTAGGGTAATACTTCAATCCTGAAGCAAAACTCTCCTCCTGGATGGTCTCTTTTATCAGGGCAGTCTGTTGGTTGTCACCTCTGTTGCCCTGTGTTGTGGAGACTCTAGGAGTGGGGACATTGTCAGCTGGAGTGAGATGTGATGAGGGTACCTCAAGGTATCACTGTGAGGACTAAACGATGTAAAGCTTTGAGGAATGGCTGATATCTGTTAACAGCAAGCATTACGTATTAGCTATCACTATGGTGAATGGTTGAATGTTCATTATTAAAGGTAAATTTATAAGAATAAAAATAACAATTTTCTGGAAATGTATAAAATGTTAAAAAGCTTTTCATTTAATTCCATTACTTTAAAATATATCCACAAATTTAAAAACTGACATTTACACAGATTATTCAATAATCTACAATTATGGCAAGTAAATTAATGTACCTTTCAGTAAACAATAGAGATTACTGCTTATAAATGTGTAAATGGTTAATTCAACACAAATAATATAAATTGACATATACTAAGTGCATCAGTTAGGGACTGCATTAAGGTAAAATGAGCCCACTCCCTTTCTCACCCACCCTTTGCTTTAAGTCTTTAATCAGGAAGCACTGTAGTTTTTGGGTTGTTGTTGTTTTGTTTTGTTTTTTTTAATGTAATGTGACATCCAGAAATAAATAGCCCAGGGCTGGGGCACTCACAAAAAAATACTATATATGCACACACACACATTTTTTTTTCTTTTTAGATTAGGGAAGCAGGAAGATTGACTTTTGGCTAACCTCTCCTTAGCATGTGGCTTTTACCCTGATGGTCATAGAATGGCTCCTCTAGCTTGGGACATCATGTTTGCTTGTACAAAAGGTGAGGAATGTAGATATATAGGTAAGTTCAATTGCTTGCACAATATCTTTTCCCAGATCATACCTAGTATCTTCTAATACTTATACTATTTAAGACTGTGCAACACAGCCTCCTAACTAGGAGATAGAGGGTTTTTAATAGTGCACATTACAAGGTGAACCAAAAAGATAGGTTCTTTTATAAAGAAGGGACAAATTTCATTGGCAACTAGCAGATATGACATCAAATACCTTAAAATTCAGTAACATAAAAATAATATATTCTGCTCGCTATGTAATTAAACTAGAAACCAGACAACAAAAAGGCAAGTAAGAATAACATGCAGGAACATTCACATTCTAAGCCTGGAATAGGGTGTTGGTTACATACAAGTATATGTCTGTTAAGTGCATCCAACTCCACATTATGATGTATACATTTTGCTGTATGTAATTCTATCTCTATGAAAATATATCTGTGAACTGGCATTTAATTCCAATAAATCATGGGTGGAAGAACAAGTAATAATGGAAGTAAAGACAATATTAGAATTAAGCCAGAATGCAAACATATAGTCATCCCTCAGTATCCACAGGGATGGTTTCAGCACCCTCCTCAGATACCAAAATCCAAAGATGCTTACATCCCTTACATAAACTGATGTAGTGTTTACATACGCACATCTTCCCATCTCTAAATGACCAATACACAGCTGTGTAAATGTTTCACTGTATCACTTAGGGAATCACTTCAAGAAGAAGTATACATACAATATTCAGTACAGATACAACTTTGTCCGGCTATTTTCAACATGCAATTGGATGAATCCACAGAAGCAGAACCTGCAGATGCCGGGGACATACTGCACATGGAGACATGAGATACAGGTAAATGAGCATCATAAGAGATAAGGGCAGCCCACCATGTGTGTATCTGTACAAACCAGACATCAACTTCCTAGGAGCCCACTGTAGGTCTGAGGCATTGACAAGGGCAGGCCACCTTGCCTAGTGCTCTCTTGCCCATTGTGGGTCCTCTTGTGCACAATGAGGGATGAGCTGTGTCTGAAGGTTTTCTCACACTGATTGCAGGGGCAGGGTATCCCCACCCTGTGGGTTCTCACAGGCACAGTGAGGTGTGAAGACTGGCCAAAGGCCCACCCACATTCCTGGCAGGCATAGGGCCTCTCCCCTGTGTGAGTTCGCATATGACTCTCCAGGGTGGAGAGGCAACTCAAGACCTGCCCGCAGGTCCCACACTCATACTGTTTCTCCCCAGTGTGGATTTTCTTGTGCACATTCAGGTGTGTGCTGGTGCGGAAGAGCTTCCCACACTGGTTGCCCTCATAAGGCTTCTCCCTGGTATGGGTGCACAGGAGTGTTTTAAGGGACAAGTGCTCTCTGAATGCTTTCCCACAGTGGCTGCATTCAAAGGGCTTCTCTCCGGTGTGTGTTCACATGTGGCTCCTGAGAGATGATGGCTGATTGAATGCCTTCCCACAGTCCTTACACACATAGGGCTTTTCTCCTGTGTGGTTTCTCTGGTGCAAAACCAGATTGAAGTTCCTGGTGAAGGCTTTCCCACACTGACCACACTCAAAGGGCTTCTCTCCAGTGTGGGTCCTCAGGTGCCGCCGCAGGTTGGAGGAATACTTGAAGGCTTGCCTGCACTCCTGGCACTTGAAGAACTTCTCTGCAGTGTGCATCTTCTTGTGCCTCATGAGGTGAGAGCTGTAGCAAAAAGTCTTTTCACATTGGTTGCACGCATAGGTTTTATTCACGCTGCAGATTTTTTCAGGTGTCATTAGAAGTGCATCCTGGAAGAAGTAGTTTCTGTTCTCCTGACTTTCATAGAAGGGCTCTTCAGCAAGGTCTCCGTGGTACTCACAAAGTGGTTCTATACTGCTAAATGGTTTCCCCAATTTTGTATATTTGTAAAGTTTTTCTCCACACTGAGGTTGTTCCTATTAAGGAAAATGGAAAGACCAAAGGCTTTATTCATATTCTTCCTCATGTCAACTAAATATAGAGGAGCACATTTCTCTATCTGAATATTTTACCTTTTTAGTGAGTCTGTACTACACCATTTCTAAACCCTTTCCCTTTAATGGAACAGGGTGGGCTCTCTGCCACAGTGATTCCTCTTTTCATTACTTCCATAAATCTTCTCAGATGGAGAGCTTTTCTACATTGTTTAAAGCCAAACTAAATTTTAAATGCCTGATGCTGAGGCTAACTTATAAAAACAGGTACTTTGGGGAACTGTGTGAAGATATAATCTCTTTTCTTTCATTGCTGGAGGTGGAACCCAAGGCCTTGTGCATACTAGGCAAGTGCTCTGCCACTGAATTATACCCCAACCCCAAGACACAAGACATGTAGTGCTTGGTCTACATTTAGAGTCTTTTATCAACTCACAACATTCACAGACTGTCTCTTAAGAACCCACTTTCTCCTGGGTAAGCACCATTTGCAAGAAGCATCTCTTGGCTCTTATGTAGTTTTTCTAACCTACAGCAACCCCACACTTTTCTTACTATAGAGTACTGAGAATAATCCCTAGTGAATTTACCCTTTTACTGCCAATGGATGGAATCTCTGCAAAAAATATCCTGGGTTGGAATTGACTCATGGGGTTGAAATTGTGGTTCTGAAATGAATTAGGGGATAAAAAGGATTAAAGGCACAGAGAACTATAGGTAGGATCGAGGTGACAAAAAAAATGTAAGCAAGACACATGTAAATTTTCGTAAAGTACTGATTACAAATATAGAAAGACACTGTAAGGATGAGAGCAAAGCAGAATTTTAAGACTTTGGACTGAAAAAAGAGTTATGTAATCATAAAAACAGGAGATGGAAACCATGGTAGACAACTTATTGAGAAAAGACTCTATGAAGGCTGGGATTAATGTGGAAGGGAAATATTAGCGAGAATGCACAGTGGGAGGAGCTAAAGCATACACCGGGATATACATAATATGAAGATAGAGGAGGCAAATATTTCTATGGAATCACAGGGAAGCACTAGGGATAAGAAAGAAAGAAGAAGGTGGAATTTACTACAGGAGCTCAACCAAACAGCCTTCTTGGGCAAGGGCCCTGAAAATGCCTTCCTATCAACAGTTTCTGAATCTGTGGCTTCTCTTTCCAACCAGAGCCAGTGCTTGCCTCCTGGTGCTCATCTGACCAGGTCGCTGAGAAGATTCCTCTCTCAGTGCTCCACGGTTCTTCTGTTTGCTCCAAATCAGACGCTGTGCTGATTTTGCATAGTTGATCTGCTTACAGGGAAAAAAGACAGATGGTGTAGGCTAGCCATGACACCAGGGCAGATATTCTATTTTTTTTTTTTTTTTTTTTTTTTTTTTTTTTTTTT